AATTAGTCAATTATTTTTACAAATGTTTACTAGGAGTGCCAACACCTTCATGGGACACGCGGGTCTGCGTAGAGTTGGCTCTTCGTTTCCACTGAAATGTTGAAGCAAGCTGAAACTGGAGGGTGGGGCACATATTGAGAAGGTCTGACTGCATGACAGTTTTTTATTTTCTTAGCAGAGGTGAACTCATACTAAAACACCCAAATCACATTTATTTATTTATTAAAAGTATTTATGTAGTTTTTTTTTTAAATAAATGTATTTTAATTAGTTACAGTCAGATTATTTAACCATGTAATAATAGAATTTACCCTTAGTTTTATAGCTGACAGACATCCGACCTTTACAGATAATTAAAAAATAATGTTTTATTGTGGATTTAACTTCCCACTCAGCAGAAAGGTTGGATTGCTAAAGTATTCATACCTCTGTATTTTTTCAGCTGATATTTTACTGGGATATCATGTGACAGAACAGCAACAGGGTGCTACTGGTTTCCTAAAAACTATCATGATTTATATTAAAGATTTAAACAAACTATAAAAATAGTAATTTTTAAGATTAGATAGCATAAAAAAAGCTTTTTATTGTGAAAAAAAATTCACCAGCAGAATCTGTTCAGGTATTTGCAGCGAAGGCCGAATGCTCCAGCTTTGCACCATTGTCAGTAAAACTGCAACAGTACTTCTATTAGCAGAACAACAACACGTGCAATTGATTAAAACCAATAGAAGAGGCCGCAGAGAAAGAAGTTTAAAAATGTAAGACCTAATTGGAATCAATTAAGACCTGTGATAAATAATCTGAACATATTAAAAACTTTTTAAGGCTTACATAGAAAACATTTATTCTAACATATTTACAATCCTGCAGAAGCCCTCAACACAAAGTATTGCATCATTTTGAAAGTCAAGGAAAATAATCTTTGGTTTTTACAATATTTCACAACAAAGGAAAAAATGAAAAAAAGTATTCAACTGCAACTAAGTTTACAAAATTCACCAACTAAAGAAAAAAGTGCCGTTGTGTCTAAAAAAAAAATCAAGATGGCTGCATTTTACCAAGTCTGCTTGGGTGTAATTTAAGTTCTTCTAATAAATTTCTCTCTTTAGCCTTTCTACTTTTAGCAAACAGCTAAATTAAGCATGAGTAATTCACTATTTAAAGAATAATCACAAGGAAACCACTTCGTGCACCTGACTCTATTTTCCTCAGAAAAGGAAATCATCTCTGCACATGGTTTACTGCTGCTGCTGCTGCTGCTGCTGCACACCTCACTAACAAACTGAAAAATCTAACAAGTGAGGGAGGAAGTATGTTGTTCCAGCTACACTGTGTAGCATTGTGTTACTTTAATAGAACCACACTGTCTGCACGGCTCTAATTTCAACCAGAGTGAATATTATTGGGTATGAATATAAAATAGTTCCCCTCTTCATCATAAATTAACACCAGATTTAAAGCAAAACATGGCTGTAGTCAGAGCAACAGGAAAAATTAGTGGTTGTTAGGGGCGATTTCCTTTCATTTAAAATCCTGAGGTAAAATTGTATTTTACATCTATCCCAGGGTTCAAATGTACGGAAGGGGATTAGGGCCACTGAAAAAAAAAAAAAGTTAAATGATTTTTAAATTTTATTTCAGTTTAGTATGGGGAAAAAGTCAGAATTCTGACAGCTAACAAACATGTTAGCATCAAGCCATAGCCATGTCTGTTTTAGAGACTAGCTCTCTTGTTTTAATGACCTTCTGCTCCTCCATTAATGAGGGGACCCCTCGGGCATGTAAAAAGTTGCCTAATTCCGTCATTTTCCACCAATGTGTTACTGGCCACCTC